TGTTCTCTTGTCAGTTTTCTCACTCCATTTGGTGCTTGGCTGAGTTCTTTATCTCTTCATTTGATGTTTTAGGGTTTCAGGATTGTTGTATTCTCTGTTCGGCTTAGTTTTTCGGATCTTTGCTGTGGAGGGATGGCGTGGTGCTTCTGCCTAGAGCGACATTTTGCCGGAACTCCCTAATGTACCTCTTTTTAAAAGTTTTTGAACAGCCGTTACTGCCTTCACATGTAATGCCCTTTGTGCTTGCCTTCTCCCTTTTGCTCCCATTTCTCAGATCTCAGCTAAATGATTTGTGTTTATGCTAGGTTTATGAAAGAATTTATTGCAGTGCTTGGGAGAAATCTTTGTTTCTTTAATTCATTTTTTCTTTTACTCAAGTGCCTAAGACGTAGTAGGTGTTAGTAAATGTTTGTTTGTGAATGAATGAATAGTGGTTTGTCCTGAGGTTGGTCTTCTGTCTGTTTTTTGGGGCAGTGTCTGTAGGTATTGTGGAGAGCTGCAGGGTACAGAGGAGCCCTGACTGTGGTCCTTTTGTTTTGTTTAAGGAGGCTAATGGAATGGCAAATATTGTAATAGTTTCCCATTGTTGTGCGCTGTCGATTCCATTCCGACTTATAACAACCTCATAGGACAAAGTAGAGCCCAGGGTTTCTGAGGCTGTAATGTTTACAGATGGCCAGTTGGCAATGGTGATATAGCGGTGCACATAGCTGCATTCTAAGCAGTTGAACCGGGTTCAACTCCCAGCCAACGCAGTTCTTTCTGGAAACCCTGGTGACGTAGTGGTTAAGAGCTATGGCTGTTAACCAGAAGGTTGGCAGTTTGCATCCACCAGGTGCTCTTTTGAAACCCTATGGGGCAGTCCTATTCTGTCCTATAGGGTCGCTATGAGTCGGCATCAACTCTACAGTAGTGGGTAATCTTTACAGGAGCAGAACGCCAGGTCTTTTCTCCCATGGAGCGGCCGGTGGGTTCAAACTGCAGACTTTTTGGTTAGTGTCAGAGTACTTGACCATTGACCGCTAGGGCTCCTTTGTTAGTTTTCTTTCCTAGGGCTGCTATAACAAAGTACTACAGAGTTGGTGGTCTGTAAGAACAGAGATTTATTGTCTCACAGTACTGGAGTATACAAGTCTGAATTCAGAGTGTAAGCAGGGCCATGCTCTCCATGAAGGCTCTGGGGAAGATCTTTTCTTGTCTCTCCCAGCTTCTGGTAGCCTCAGGCAGTTCTTGGCTTGCAGCTTGAGGTTACATGGAGTTCTTTCCTATGTGTGTCTCTCTGTCTCTTCTCTTTTATAAGGACACAGTCAGATTGTATTAGGACCCACCCTAATCTTCATCTTCGAAGACCTTATTTCCAAACAATGTCACATTCACAGGTATGGGAGTTAGGACTTCCACATATCTTTTTGGGGGACACAAGTCAATCCAGATAATCTCAGATTTTAAAATGTTGGTATATGGCAGGGTTTCTCAACCTTGGCACTGTTGACGTTTTGGATTAGATAGTTCTTTGTTTTTGTGGGGTTCTGTGCATTGTAGGATGTTTAGTAGTAGTCCTGATCTGTATCCACTAGATGTCAGTAGCACCCTCAGACCCCTCCCCCCAAGTTGTAACAATCAAAAATAGTTTCCAAACATTGCCAAATGTCTCATGGGAAGCAAAATCACCGTTACTTGAGAACCACTGGTGTATGGGTATAAGAGGGCATTACCTCATACCAGCAGCTTTTAAAAGAATGTTGCTCTTTGGTTAGCACATTAGGTCTTCAAACCATGTAATTGTGTACAAGCCACAGAGGATACTTTAAATATTATTGTTGCCCCTATTGTACTCACAGTTAACACATTTGCTGTGATGGCAGCCTAAGTCCACAGAGGACTTGAGCGCAAGGACCATTCCTGTCTGCTTCACCACAGTATATCTAGGGCCTAGCACAACTTAATAATGATTGTAGTCATAACAATGAATTGGTAAGTGCTTTATATGCATTATCTCATTCACATAGTAAGTGCCAAATAATAAGTGCTCAATGAATATTTGTTGAATGAACAAATCTTGGCAGAACTTAATGTATGAATGCATATCCCGGAAGGAATAAAACAGCATCTGCCAATGAGAAAAATATTTCTTCCATTGGTTCTCTTCTTTTGGTTTGGAGAATTTTCATTATTTGTGGAAGTAAAAGCTCCTTATATAATCACTGATATAGTGGTAGATATAATTAGGACGTGTATCGAAGGATGTGCTAAAGGTTAATGTGCTCGACTGCTAACCAAAAGGTTGGAGGTTCGAGTCCTCCTAGAGACCCCTTTCAAGAAAGGGCTGGCAGTCTACTTCCAAAAAATCAGCCACTAACAACCCTGTGGAGCACAGTTCAGCTCTGACATACGTGGGGTCACCAAGAGTCGGAATCAACGGGACAGCAGCTAGTGGTTTTATTGAAGGATGTTGCCTGTTTTCCTTATGTGTTTTTTTATTCTTCTGTTCTGAGGACACTGTGCTGAACCAGATAGCTATGGTCCATTCCCTAACCCTCTGGAGTTAGGCTGGTGCCACAGCAAATTCTTAACTCTGTAGGGCTGTAGTACACTAGGGGCAATACTAATATTTAAAGGATCATTTGTCTCTTCCAGTAGGTTCTTCTTTCATTCCAAGCTATCTACTGGAAATTATTTTGTAACAATAACTCATTTTTCTCTTTTTAGGACCGCTGAAGCCAGAAATAACTGTAACCTACATTGCTGTTGCAATAATATTCTTTAACAGCGGACTGTCATTAAAAACAGAGGTACTGTAACCTATGGGGCACATGAAAAGAAGGGAGAAAATTTTAATTCATACTTAACTGTTTTGAAATGTCAGGGTCCTTTTTAAAGCTGTTTGTAGCTATAGCCTGAAGCCTACACTGTAATAGAAGATAACTTGGACTTCGGCAAAGGACTTGTATTTTGTTCCTGCATATTCTAGAAAATTCATAGTTGAGCAACGTGAACCCTGAGGATGTGATTATAATGGGTATGTTTCTAATACAGCAACTGAACTGAAGCATCTATTTTGGGTCTTCCTCAAATTATGATGGTAACTACGGTGGCAACTGCTGTGCTTGGGAACATTTGAGCTATTGATGTTTAGTTGGGTTTCTGTAACTTTTGTGGATCATCTTTTGTACCCAGGACCCATGCTGCTCAAGTGATGCTTGTTATGTCATAACTTTTAACTAATTAAAGCAAAACTTATATTCTCCGCTAGCATATCTATTAATTATTGATAGATGTTTTAAGAGAAATGTTGCTGTTTTTCATATTAGTTCACAATCCATCTTGAAGACATATAGTTAGTGTTCCTGACTGATCCAGGTTTCATGAACATAGGATTCTCTTGGAAGTAAAGGAATGAAGTTATTTTTAAGTCAGAGAGAGGAATTAATGAAATTTTGATTCTCTTTTGACTTCTAGGGGAAGAGAAAAAGAGGAGAAAAGCCTGTCTGCTTTTGAAGAAGATATAGAGTTTTTAAAGTTGTCATTCTAATTGTTTATTCTTATGTATATGGGGAAATCTTACTATGTAAGATGGATTTTTTTGGGGAAATGGCTTTCGAAGTTAAAATTCTGGTTCAGCATCATGTCTTACATTTACCTGTTATCTGAATTTCAGAATTTTTCTATTTTATTTTACTTTTAAGTGTGATTTGAATGAAGACCAAATTTAGTTACCTCGTTAGATCACCCTGAAGCCCTGGTGGCATAGTGGTTAAGAGCTCAGCTGCTAACCGAAAGGTCGGCAGTTCGAATCCACCAGCTGCTCCTTGGAAACCTTATGGGGCAGTTCTATTCTGCCCTATAGGGTTGCTGTGAATGGGAATTGACTCAGTGGCAGTGGGCTTGGCTTAGTTTGGTTAGATCACCCTAGTGGCAGCATGGAAAAAAGACAATTTTCCTGAATTTATGTATTCTGTAGTTCTCAGGTTGGTATGAAGCTTTTAACGGGCATGTTTTTGATACATAAGATCAGTGTCTACAGTTGATAAATTGTGCCTCAGAAATGCTAAATATTCTCACCAATTACTTGTTCTTCCAGAAATAACTGACATGGGACAGGAATTCCTAAATATGTCAAATTCTACCTTTTGCAAATGATATGAAAAACTGTGAACAACACTTACAGGCACAGGCTTTTCTGTCAATACCTGAATTTTAATATTGCTTCTTAAATCTAGGGCACAGTGATGCAGTCACATGCTTGCCACTACCCTGGTGCCGAACTGATCATATTCTGAGGTCTTCCTGCTGGCGTTGGCTAATGCTCTTTGTGGAGCAGCTGCCTACCCAAGTCTTCTACATGGGATGTTGCTCTAACTACTTCCCCCAATGGCTGTTTAATGGCTACAGCAGTTACTATGCCATGGGAAATCTGGCAAGAGACTGGATTTCTTTCACTCCTTACTTAATGCTGTTCTGTACACCAGCCAACCTTGTGGGATGCAGGAGTTGAAGAACGAAGAATGTCATAGCTTTCTGCGTCCTCAAAGGACTGCCCTCTTCTGTAAGCACCTAGGAAACCTTCTGAGCCATCTAGCTCATTTGGATCTAATGATGAAATGCCTTGATCCTCTTCTTTATCTCAGTATCTAAGTAGCCATTAAAGCCATTTCTTCCGTCAAAGGACTTTCTCAATCTAATACAACATTAAGTTATTTTCCAAAGCCATTTAACTTAAGATGCCCTGGATTGCATCATTGTGTAATGTTAAACCATCTCTAAGCCCTGCTAATTTCCTGGGCAACTGAATAGTTGTAAGTTAGGAGGCAGTCGTCTTATTGTTATTTGTTTTCTAGTTAATAATCCCAAATTCATTTCAGCTGGGACTACTCCTTTTGCATCCGTTAGGTCCTACGGTAGTGCATTTTTGCACACAGGAGACACTGGCTAATTTATTATGGATGAATTTATTTTGAAAACATTGACTTTGGCCCCATTCAAGTTTGATTTATGTTGAACGGTTCGTGTAGTATTGCTCATACATTGATTCAATAGCATGTATTATAAAATTTGTTTTACTAATGTATTATAATTATAAAGGTACTACTGTGCTAATACAAGGCCAAATCTTCAGTGTTATGACTGTTGGTGATTTCTAGTTTTGAAACTCCTGTTGAAGTGGTTTCTAAAATTTTGTTGTATTGAAGTGAATTAAAGTCACATTTGAAATATATTTTATATTTTGCTAACTCCAAACCTGTAGTTTCAGAGGATTTGTCCCTTAAAAGATTATGGCAGGACCAATTCAATTTAAACAGAGATCTAGTAAGTGCCTGTGGCAACCAGGCACTATTCTTGGGATGGATATACAAAGATAAGCAGGAAGCTCAGGGCCTCAAAAAGGGTCCCAAGTAGGGAAAACTATACAGGTATTTCCTTATTTTCCTAAGCAGATTATTTTACCGCATTGACTTGGAAATAAATACAACAAATTCTAAACTTTAGGCTCATGCTGCTTGTTTCGAGCCCAGAGCTATACGGCTGACTCTCAGAAAGTGAATCAGATAAAGGTCAAATATGGGTTGGAAGGGAAATTGGTATGTAATGAAACTATTTCTACATCCCAGTCAGAGCCCCTGATTTTAAGCAATTCATGGTGCTGTCAGTGATACTCTGATATAATCAGTACATTATGTGGAGTATCTCCTTAAGTTTATTGTAATGGAATTTGACCTGTATTACAGGTGAATAAACAAAATGTATGCAGAGGCACCTTTTCAGTTATTCATGATGGTATTTATATGAGAAAGTGACCCCAAACTTTAGATGGATATTTATGGAATAATACTGTTTTGAATTTTATAGTGTTTACTTTTTCTTTTTCAGTGTTTATTTATTTTATCCTTATGGTTATACAAGTAAGATGCAAAAAATATATGACACTGGGTTTTTGTGACCATCTTAAAAACATTTCTTAGGAACACTTCAAGCCTGTTACTTCCCTGTTGTTAAGAGGTCTCTCATGGCCCAACATGGTCTCTAGGCCCTTGTGACTCATTTTTCTGGGCTCTTTACTGTATCATTCTTTTGATGCAATGTCAACTGTTTCCAAGTGTCATTTATTAGATCAGCTAGTATATTCTAACTACATTTTATTTTTTATCACTTTTTTTCTGATTATAAAAGTCATATTTACCCATTGAAGAAAGTTTAGAAAGGAATAAAAGAAACTGTTATTAACATCGCTGTATTTTTTTAGTCTTTTTTTTCCCCTAAACATATGTTTTATATGTAAAAAACATGTTTTTTTCCCAAAACATATGTTTGAAAAATAAAATTGGGACACACACGCATATACACAAACATATGCAATCTTATTTTTTCTGTGTAACATTGTATAATGATTATTTGTCGTGTAATATTTTTATTTAATTTTTCTTCATTTAGCTGTATTATATTTAAAAATAAAATAATTTAAAATTTGTCTACTTTTATGAAGTTTACAAACACAGCTCAGAAACAAAAGGTAAAGAAGTGTATGTGATGAAAAGCCTTCCTTTCATCCTGCCACCAGACACCTAGTTCTCTTCTCTGGAGATAATCAATGTGAACAGTCTCTTGTGCATTCTTTCAGAGATATTCTTTGCAAATCATACGTACTCCCTCTATAAATTGTAGTATTTAATACTGTTCGACACTTCACCTTTTTTTTTTACTTAACAACAGATCTTAGAGATTGTTTCATATCAACACATAAAGAATTTCCTGTTTCTTTTTGTAGGCTGATAGTACTCCATTGTATGGATGTATTGTATATATTACCAGTCGTCTATTGATGAACGTTTAGGTAATTTATAAAATCTTGCTATTATAAACAATACTAGGACGGGTGACCTAAAAACATGTCATTTCCCACATTTGGGAGCATATTTGAAGGATAAATTCCTAGAAGTGGAATTGCTAGGTCAAATGTTACGTGGAGTTTAAGTTGTGATAGGCATTCCAAGTACCTACAATGGTGCCAGGTGCTCAGTATTTGTTGAATGAAGGAATGAGTTGTAGATTGCTCTCCATAGATGGCGTCAGTTTATACTCTTATCAGTAAAGTAGGAGAGAGCCTGTACTCCCACGTTCTTGTCAGTACTGTTTTAACATGAGTTTTAATAGCTCATAGCAAGCTGGTTATACCGTAAGTTATTTAATTACTGTCCCATTTTTGGAGATTTCAGTTCTCAGATTTGGCTCTAATGGATAATGCTGTGATGAAATTCTGTGTATAAATGTTTATAATCCTTTTTTATAACCTTTGGATAAATACCTAGACATGAATTTTTTGGTTTTAAGAATGGGATTGTATTATAGCTTTTGGTATGTATTCCCAAGTTACTTTTCAAAAAAATTACACTGTTTTATATTCCTACCAGGAGTATATGCAGATACCTTAGGTACTGCATTCTGGCTAATCATATTTATTACAGTATTCTTTAAAATAAAAAGAAGTAGAATCAAATGCCTCTGAATATATTTAAATGAGGTTTAGTCTCAAGATTGCTGATAATTCTCTGTGCTATTGGTATGGAATGTTAATGAAGTCTTATTCAGTTTAGGGACGGCTAGCTTTGTCTTCTAAGGATTAGATCTGATCCAAGGCTCTGGTGTGGCTTTTGGTCTGCCCAGTGTTGCCCAGTGGCCCTGAATTAGACCCAGATTTCTAGAAGTTCCTTAGATATCACCAGGGATGTCCTGTGACCACACAGGAGCTGCTCTGTGTCTCCACACTGCGGGGTAGATAGTGGGAGCCAGTGAGAGATCCTAGAATGTGGTTATCAGTGAATGAGTCCACATTAACCTAGTATTTATTAAACTAATCAACTTTGGCTAATGTCTCAGGCCGAGGATCTCTTAAACTTCTTACTTGAACAGTCTACGGGGGGCCATTACAATGCATTTCTGCAACCAGTGAGTCTCTGGCATCCAGAATATGCTTTAGTGACCGCCTGCATGTTTTAAAGGACTATAATTTTTATCTTACTTTCTGAATTTATTTTATTTGAATTGAATAACCACATAACTCAAAGAAATTCAAATGCAAATGCTTGATAGTTTGTGTATATTTGAACCCGAAAGATCAACCAATTATCCTTTTTTAGTTATGAGACTCATAAGATGTACCTGGTTTGTCATGTTTAATATGCAATTTTTTTTTTTTCCTCTCCTGGGGCAGATGTGTGATATAATGGAAGAAGCAGGCATGGATTTAAGAGCATGCCAGAAATGGGTTTTATTCTGAGCTTAACTGCAGGAGCTCTTAATTTCAATTTCCTCATCAGTGAAGTAGGGATAATAATATCTGCCTAATGGGGTTGTTGTGAGGATTAAATAACACAACTTTTTTTTTTTTTTTTTCCTTGAAGAGGTCAGCTTTTATTGACAGAAATTCCTATATGCCAAGCTCAGAGCCTGGCATATAGCTGGTGTTTCAGTAAATGTTAATAACAAAAATATCTTATGAGTCTATTTTGGGGGAAAAGCCATTTTGAATTACAGAATATAATTGATGAAAACATTAAAAAATTATTATTTGTGTGTAGATTCAGTAACGTCTTCCCAAATGGAGGCCTTATTAAGTCTGGTTTACTGAATAGAGATTAATTATATTTAATTAAAATGTAATAGATCCTGCTAAAGTTTTTAATCAAGATTTTCTATGTTGGTAAATATACATATTTGTTCATAGTATCCACAGTTCTCAAATCGATGCTAGTGTAAAGGTAGTTAGCTTAGTTATTATCCAGAATCTTATAAATCTGAATTATTGAGGTATGTTGTATATTTAAAAGAAATTAGAATATTTCAGAAATTTTATATCAAAATACTTTTCTAATCATCGTGACTTTTTCTCTTAAAGTTCTGCCTCTTACGCATGTGCATGCAGATAAAGTTTTCAACTATGAAATACCTCTAATCAAACACTAATTTATTTGATGTTATTTTAGTAACAGTCTCTATTCAGAAATAGTTTTCTTACTTTTTTTTTTGTGTCCTTCATTTTTCCAGGAGCTGACCAGTGCTTTGATGCATATAAAACTGCATCTTTTTATTCAAATCTTTACACTTGCATTCTTCCCAGCAACAATATGGCTTTTTCTTCAGCTTTTATCAATCACACCTATCAATGGATGGCTTTTGAAAGGGTATGTTTAAATCTTTTGAGGGGTCCACTTTTAATGGGGCATCTTTAAGTGACGTTTTTGTTTCTATGGTAGCTATATACAAAAGGGCTTATGTGTGGTATCTTAAAATAAAAATCCTCTTCAACATTATTATTATCCTTTAAAATAATAGTGTTTCCTCAGGGAGATTCATAGAAGAATTTTATAATGGAATCTTAAAATACACCATCATGCTTAATCTCAAGGTTCTAGGATGGATATTTTCTGGGAATTTTAAAGAGTGATGTTGGGAGAAGAATAGAAGGGACTAGACTATCTAAGATCTATATGCATGTGTATAACGTAGGCTGTCAATTGGATGCTTTAACCTCTGCATTCTACCTCTTACCAGATGTGTGCAGATAATGGCTGAGCATAGTATGTGTTTTTAAAACTTACAGGGGAAGAAAAAAATATATATGTGTATATACATAGGACAAACATTTACTTTTTCACTTGTTTTATACTTGATGTAATGGTTGAATTAATAGCCCTGGTGGTGCAGTGGTTAAAACGATCAACTGCTAACTGAAGGGTCAGTAGTTTGAAACCTCCAGTGGCCCAGTGGGAGAAAGATGTGACAGTCTTTTTCCGTAGAGATTTACAGCCTCGGAAACCCTGTGAGTCAAAATCGACCCAATGGCATTGGGTCTTTTGGTTTTTATTCTTTCATTAAAAATGTTGCCATGTTTATTAAAAGAATTTAATGAATTTTAAAAATTATTTAAAGGAATTTAAAACTAACCACATTTTAGCATCGTCGTGTAATAGCTAAACCACTGAACTTAGAGCCGAAAGATTGAATTCTGAGTTAGGGACATTGCCTGTCCCTAACTTGCTGTGTGACTTTGAGGAAAGTCATTAAATAGTTTTGAGCCTCAATTTTCCTGTCTATGAAATGGAGATAACCATACTTGTACTGCCAACTTTATAACAATGTTGGGAATATCAGTTGAGATCACTTCTCGTTCAGTCATGTCATTTATTTTGCTCCTACTATGTGCCAGGAAAGGAGCCCTGGTGGCACAGTGGTTATAGCGCTCAGCTGCTAACCAAAAGGTTGGCAGTTAGAACCCACTGGCTGCTCCATGGGAGAAAGATGTGGTGGTCTGCTTCCGTAAAGTTACAGCCTTGGAAACCCTGTGGGGCAGTTCTACTCTGTCTTGTAGGGTCACTATAAGTCGAAATCAACTTGATGGCAATAGATTTGGTTTGGTTTTGGTATGTGCCAGGAATTATTATAAGTACTAGGGAAACAACAATGAATATGATCGACAAAGTGACAGTTTTGAGCTTTGGGGAGATTCAGGGGTGTGATTGTCAATAAACACGTAAATAGATACACAGGATAGAAATAAGTGATGTGAAGATAGTACACAGTGTGATATGATTGATAGTGCTTGGGTGAGCAGAATGGTGATTACTTTAGATTGCAGAGTTCTGGGACCAGAATGTTCTAGGCAAAGGAAACAGAATGTGTAAAGGCTGTATGGCAGCAACAAGCCTGGTGTGTTCTAGGGTCAGTCGCGATGACCAGAACCTAGTGATAGAGTGGGAGAATAATATGATTTGGGGTTAGAGAGCCAGGAGCCAGGTCACACAGAGCCTTGTAGGTCATGGTAAAGCATTGAAATTTTATTCTAAATGCTACAGGAAGCTATTGGAGGGTTTTAAATGAGGGAGTGATGAGGTCTGATTTGTATTTGCAAATGATTCCTGGAAGGACCAGAAAGAAAGCTAGGAGAGCAGCTTGGAGGCTAGTGTGGTGAGGGAGCAGTACAATAGAGGGAAATGAATATATACAGAATCTATTTTGAAATTAGAGCCCTCAGAACCCACTGGTGGATAGGATATAGAGAGAGAAAGGAGAGGGAGGAACCAAGTATGACTTCTGGATTTTAGGTATGAGCCACTGGATGGCTTAGCTGGGGAGAAATAGACTGGGAGCAGCAGGGGAGATAAAGAGTGTGCTGTTTTGGCCAGATTGAGTTTGAGATAATGAACATAAACTTCTACCAAAAAGTATAAAATGGCACATAAATATGATATTATTATTAGAACAACACTGTATGATGCATATCAAGAACTGATATTTGCCATGTATAGGGCACTAAAGGAATAGAAAGATACTAAGTCATTTAGTTTGTCTTCAGGGAATTTCTATTCAGTTGGATGTTGCTGTTCTTAGCTGCTGCTGAGTTGGCCTCTGACTCATGGCAAACCCCATGCGTAACCGAAGATTGGATTGTTGTGATCAATAGAGTTTTCACTGGCTGATTTTCAGAAGTAGATTATCAGGCCTTTCTTCCTAGTCTGTCTTACTCTGGAAGCTCCACAGAAACCTGTTCAGCATCATAGCAACATACAAACTTTCATCGACAGATGAGTGCATTGGCAGGGAATCAAACCTGAGTCTTCCACTTACAAGGCAAGAATTTTACCACTGAACCACCATTGCCCCTATTTAGTTGGATACATAGGATGTATATATAAAATAGTAAAAACCAGAAAGGGGCAGCATATGATTTGTCAAATGAGTGGTGTAATCATTTATGGGGTAAGAGGTTCAGAAAGTGTTGTGTACTCCTGAAGTATAGAGAATTCAAAGCAAGGTATTAGTGAGAGATAGAGATAAAAGGATTCATTAGGACCAGGTTGCAGAAGGCCTGAACTACTGTGCTGATGAGCTTGGATTTGTATCTCTAGATGATGGAGAATTCTCAAAAATACTAATAAAGGAGAACAACATGCTTAAAAGTTGTCATTAAGAAAGATTAATCTCATAGCATTGTACTGGGAAATTACTAGAAGAGTAGCTCTTGCAATGTCAGTATGCGGAATGTAACAAGCATACAACTCTCACCTTAGGAAGTTAAACTTAAAGGAGTATACACTAGCCTAACTCACTTAGAGAAAGCTCTTTCTAGCTCACATTTTCTCCCTCCTCCTCCCCAATCTGAAAAAGAACACACTTAGTATGTTAACTTGAGGGAGTTGCTGACTCTTACCTCAGGATCACATCAAAATAAATATATTCTGAGCACATACTCCTTACCTTATGTTGTTAAAGGGAAAGAGTGGAGGTAGGGAAACATTCAGCAGGCATTTGTAAGTGTCCAGACTTAGCAAAAACATCTGAATGGGGATGATGGCAATAGTCACGGAGAACAGAAAGTTGGTTGTGGTGACCAACTGATTTTTGAGGAGCATGAGGAATCAGATATAACTCCAAAGCTTCAGACTGGATCATTAGGAAAAAACTGGTCCCATTGACAGAAATAGGTCAATTTAAAGGGGAAATTGATTTGTTATGAAACATATAAACTCAATATTTGTCATGTTTAGTTTGAGGTGCCAGTCATAGGCAGCCACAAATTTGGGAGTGGTGTTTAGGGCTAGAAATATAAATGTGAAAATATTCCTATAGATTTAGAAATAAGATTGAAAATAAGGCAGGAAAGCTAGCAAAAAAATCAGATTGGGCTGGTTTAAGATAGGAGATAAAATTAGAATGATGAAGTGCCTTGGTAACCAACAGAATAGAGTGCCTTGAGAAGGAAGAAGTTAAGGAGAAAGAGGATGAGGGAAAGGATACTGGATTTGGTAATTAGGGGATCATGGGTTACTTTTAATGTTACTACTTTTACTAGTAGAGGGGAAGAATTCAGGTTCCAGGGGAGTAAAGAGAGAATGAGCTGTGGGGTCATGGAGTCAGGTACTGTGTGTCCTCTGCTATTTAATGAAGGTCAATAGTGAGCAACAATGCGAAAAGTAGGATTGTGTCTTGAGGAGGCAGCAATACTAATTTTGCTGTTATCTATATTTGTGTGTTGAATCTCCTGCATCTTTAAACTTTTTTTTTATACCCTCATGTAATATCCCATTCACAGAAGGCATGTGTATTCAATGTGTAGTTTAGGTTTTTTTTTCTTTTTTTTTTTTTTTAGATAAGGAGAATTGTGTTTCTTTGTACATAGAGGGAAAAGGACCAGAAGAGAGTAAAAGACTGAAAAAACTGGAAAGGCCTGTCTCTAGTGTTGGTGGGGAAGATAGAAAGGACAGAGACTGGAGTAGGCCTGCAAAGTCTTTTGACCCTGGATGGTGGAATAAAACTTTGGCCTTAGATGGCTTTATGAGCTTGGGCAGTTTACTTAACTTCTATTTTAACTTCAGTTTTCTCTTCAATAAAATGAGAATAATAATAGTACTTATTTTAAATACTTGTGAGGAATAATTGAGATAGTGCACGTAAAGTGTCTAGAATGGTGTCTACCACACATGGTAAATGCTTGGAAAGTATTAGTGATGATGATGGTGTGCTTGCAGCAAAGGCTGAAAGATTGGTAGTTCATAATAGGACAGGCTATTTTAGCACCATTTGGGAAAATAGACCTTAAAAGAAGATCATATTAATTATAAATATATAATTGGAACAATATTAAATATTAAATTAGGCTGCAAGACTTAGGGGATATTAATATTTTTTCTGATGATGTGACCAGATTGATATAACTGAATGGAATGAGAACTACTTTAGTGATAAATTTAGTATCTATAATTAGTTATTGTAACTAGGGTCAGCACATTCTTAGATAGTCAACAAATACTTATTGAATTGAATTGAGTTGGAAATTCCATAAAATGTATTTTCATATATATTTTCAGTTAAAATGAATTAATACATTTTATTGTTTTTTTATTTCAGAGGTAATATAAATTCATTGCAGAAAGCTCAGACAATACATTCTTATGAAAGTGAATAAATATCATCTGTAATCCTACTCACTCAAAATATGTTTAAGTTAGATGCTCTGTGTCCTCTACTCCCCTGTATTCACTTTCCACTTCAGTCAGGCAGGCTACTCACTATCCCCAGAATGTATATTCTATATGAATGCTAAGTAATGTTTTTCATCTTTTGTACTTAGTTTTACAACTCATAATTTCATTTACTGATCATGCAATTCATTTTCTATCCTAAACTAAGAGAATAGACTTGTTGTCATGATCTGGGGAGTACGCACATAATTTTATAAAAATCAAATGGAGAATACTTACATTTACTGCAGAGTCTGAACCCAAGAAGCATATGATTGTGTCATGCCTATTTGTATAATGATTTTACAACATGTAAATTTCTTTTATGAGAAGAAAGTTTGAGTGTGACTGTTTAATAGGAGGAAACCCTGGTGACATAGTGGTTAAGAGCTACAGCTGCTAACCAAAAGGTTGGCAGTTGGAATCCATTAGGTGCTCCTTGGAAACTCTATAGGGCAGTTGTACTCTGTCCTGTAGGGTCACTTTGAGTCAGAATAGATTCAATGGCAACAGGTTTGGTTTTGGTTTTTGGTTTAATAGAAAGGAATCTGCACATGTAAGCTTGTGTTTTGTTAAATATTTTTGAATGTTTACGCAGGTTTGTAGTTGTATTTTTACTAAAAGAATTCCTACAAAAAAATATGAGAAGATTTTGACCTTACCTGAAAATATCCTAAAATTATATGCATTTATCAAATATTAAAAATATTTTCAGGTAAAGCAAAAATCTTTTTCTTACATTTTTTTGTAGGAATTCTTTTAGTAAAAATACAACTTCAAAACCACTGAAAAATTATTAATAGCCACAACAATGGGCTCAAACATATCAGAGATCATGAAGATGGCGCAGGACTGGGCAACATTTTTACTGTTATACATAAGGTGGTCATGAGTTGGATTTGACTCAACAGCAGCTAGCAATACCACCAAATGATTAACCATTTTTTATGTTGTAATTACTACATTCACTATAACTTAACTGTTTTTGAATTGTATAGTAAGAGCTTAAGTAACCTCAAAAATAAAATCATCCAAGCTGTGGAACAGAATGAGAGCTCTGAACTCATGCATTTACAGCATCTTCTAAGCAACATTGCCTCACATAGAATTGTCTAAATTCAGCAAGGCATGTACATCAGTAAACTCTTCTATTTTCATTTGTTCAGCTCTGCTATTTTAGAATGAATGTAGTGAAAACTATTTATAATTGCATTTTCTTTTATTTTTCAGTTTGCAGACAGTAGGTTGCATGCCTCCACCTGTGTCTTCTGCGGTGATTTTAACCAAGGCAGTTGGTGGCAATGAGGTGAGTCATGGGGTTAACTTTATTTAAACATAGGTGGGTGCAGTGCTTCAATGCCTGTTCTGAATACAGAGGAGTCATGTCACAGAAAACTCATAACCATAGCAGTTTATGAAAGAAGCAGATGTGTTCACATATTAGAATGATGATAAAATTGATGATGATAAATGGAATTTAGGATCTCAAAGAAAAGAGCAAGGGAGATGAATGAAGTAGAGAGGATGATTTTTTTCACCTCGGTGGGAAACTGGGAGGAAGTGGGTGGAAGAATCCAAGGGAAGGGAATTTTCACCCAAGAGTCATCAACTGTGGACACCAACTCTGGCCACTCTTTAGTTCTTAAAAAATTTGTAACAAACTAAATTGATGGAGAAAGGGTCAATATAAATTTAATAGCCAATGAGGGTCATACAAAAAGGGAGAAATCAGGCCAGGTTTCTAAGTTGAGCTCAGAGAAATTATTCAGCTGGTAGAGGACTGTGGTAAAAGAAGAGTGCTTATATATTGGGTTAGCAATTGTCCATTTCAGAAGCTATTTATAAGCTGTTCTCCTTTGGTTGAAAGGCCGTACAACTTCGTACTGGTGAGGGGCTTTTTCTTTATGATAGCTTATTTCTCCTTTCCATCTATATTTTCTGATTCAGAAAATAATACTGTTGAATGAGGAAAGACATAAGGGGTTCCCAATTCATTCTTAGCATTGTGCTGTTCTTAGCGTCTACTTTCATTTTCATCCACTTTATCATTCTTAAAGTATGTATTGCATACCTACTGTATTCTCTTTTTAAAACAGCTTTATTGAAGTATAATTGACCCACAATTATTTAAAGTATACAATTTGGTGTATTTTGACATATGTATACACTGGTTGTGTAACTAGTGCTGCTATAACGGAAATACTGCAAAGTGGATGGCTTTAAAGAACATAAATTTATTTTCTCACAGTTCTAGAGGCTAAAAGTCCAAATCAGGGTCTCAGGTGTGCCAATTCCTTCCTTGTTAGTAGCCCTAGATGTTCCTTGGTTCCTTTGTGATTTTCACATGGCATCTGTCTTCCCCAGTGTGTGGTAGCCTCTATGTCTAATCTGCTCTTTTTATATAACTCAGAGGTGATTAGGTTTAGAACGCACCCTACTCTGTTGTGATCAATTAACATAACAAAAGACCCTATTTCTAAACAGGATTACATTCACAGGTATAGGGGATAGAATTTGACACATATTTTAGAGGGGCACAATTTAATCTATAACACCCATAATCACAATCATCGCAATCAAGATAGTGAGTATATCCATCTAACATAGCCATCATCCTCCAAAGTTTTCTTGTGCGTCTTCGTAATCCCTCTCTCCTGCTGTTCCCAGCAACCATCCTCCCCAGGTAACCACTGATCTGCTTTCTGTCACTATAGATTAGTTAGCATTTTCTAGAGTTTTGTGAATGGAATAATACTGTATATAGTCTTCTTTTTTTCCCCTAGCTTTTTTAAATCAGCATAATTATTTTGAGATTCATCTGTATTGTATGTGTTAATAGTTCATACTTTTTATTGCTAAGTAGTATTTTGTTGTATGGATACACCACAATTTATTATCTGTTTGTCATGGGTTGAGTTGTGTCCCCAAAAATATTTGTATCAATATGGCTAGGTCATGATTCCCAATATTGTGTGATTGTCCACCACTTTGTTGTCTGATGTGATTTTCCTATATGTTGTAAATACTATCTCTATGATGTTAATGAGATGGGATTAGTGGCAGTTATGTTAATGAGCAAGAACAAACCAAAAGATTAGATTGTGTCTTAAGCCAATCTCTTTTGAGATATAAAAGAGAGAAGCGAGCAGAGAGACATGGGGACCTCATACCACCAAGAAACAAGAGCCAGGAGAATAGCGTGTCTTTGGACCTGAGGTCCCTGTGCTGAGAAGCTCCTCAACCAGGGGAAGATTGATGACAAGGACCTTCCTCTAGAGCCGACAGAGAGAGAAAGCCTTCCCCTGGAGGTAATGCCCTGAATTTGGTCTTGTAGCCTACTAGACTGTGAGAGAATAAATTTCTCTTTGTTAAAGCCATCCACTTGTGGTATTTCTGATGTAGCAGCACTAGAAGACTAAGACACCATTCAACTGTTGCTGCATATTTGGGCAGTTTCCAGTTTTGAGTGACATCAAATAAAGGTGCTATGGACATTTGTGTACAAATATTTGTGTGGATATACTTTCATTTCTCTTGGGAATACCTAAGAGTGGAGTGGCTGGATCATATGGTAGGCATATGTTTTAGGACCTTTCAACCAGGAAGAATCACCTATTGATATACATATATCGCCTATAAATGGCTTCTGATATAGACAATTGCTTCCCCTATGTACAAGCACTCTTCTTTTTACCATAGGTGTATGTTTAACTCAACTTTTTAAAAAGTTGTCAAACTATTTTTCCAGTTCTTCTACATCCTTATCAATACATAGTATTCTTAGTCTTTTTAATTTCTAATATGTGTGTGGTGGTATCTCATTGTGGTTTCAATTTGCCTTTCCCAGTGATTAGTGATATTGAGCTATTTTCACATGTTTAATTGCCATCCGTATGCCTTCTTTGGTGAAATACCTGTTCAAAAAAATTTTCTTTAATTGAGTGGTTTTGTTTTCTTATTGTTGATCTTTGAGAGTTTTATATATTCTGGATACAGGTCCTTCAGATACATGCTTTAAATATTTTCTCTTAGTCTGTATCTTTTTATTCTCTTCAGTGTCATTTGAAGAGCAAGATGGTAGTGGAGGTCATAAAAGGTTATTGGAATCTGGACGTATGTTGAAGGTACAAATGTCATAAATTGAATTGTGTCACCCCCAAATATGTGTCAACTTGGCTAGGCCATGATTCCCAGTATTGTGTGGTTGTCCACCATTTTCTGATCTGACGTGACTGTTCTGTGTGTTGTAAATCCTAATCTCTGCCTATGGTTGGTGAGCCAAGATTAGGTTATGTTAAAGAGGAATAGGGTGGATGCAACACTGTTACTCAAGTCACAACCCTGATCCAGTGTAAGAGAAGTTTCGCTGGGGTGTGGCTTGTATCACTTTTTATCTTACAATAGATAAAAGGAGAGAGAAGCAGCAGAGAGAAAGAGGGACCTCATACCGCTAAGACAGAAGTGCTGGGAAAGGAGCGTGTCCTTTGGATCTCAGGTCTCTGTGCTGAGAAGCTCCTAGGTGAGGGGAAGATTGAAGACAAGGACCTTCCCCCAGAACCAACAGAGAGAAAGCCTTTTTGGGAACTGGTGCCCTGAATTCAGACTTCTAGCCTCCTAGACTGTGAGAGGATAAATTTCAGTTTGTTAAAGCCTTCAACTTGTGGTATTTCTGTTATAGCAGCACTAGATAACTAAGCCAACAGGATATGCTGAAAAATTGGATATGGGATATGAGAGAAAGAGGGAGGTTTGGGGAGTAGGGAGTCCCTGGGTGGTGCACATGGTTAAGTGCTTGACTACTAGCTGAAAGTTAGTGGTTTAGATCCACCCAGAGGCACCTCGGAAGATAGACCTGGCAATCTGCTTCCAAAAGGTCACAGCCTCGAAAACACTGTGGAGCAGTTCTACTCACGGGGTCACCATGTTTCGGAACTAAGAAGTCCAAAATCTCAATGACTGTCTTAGTTAGCTAGTGCTGCTGTAACAGAAATACCACAAGTAGGTGGCTTTAAAGAACAGATACTTATTTTCTCAGAGTTTAGGAGGTTAGAAGTCTGAATTCCTGGTACCATCCATAGGGGAGGGCTCTCTGTTTGCTCTGAGAGAGGATCCTTATCTCAGCTTCTGTAGTATCCTTGGTTCTTTGTCCATCTTTTTCTATCTAATCTGTTCTTTTTATAACTCAGAAGTGATTAGATTTAGGACACACCCTATACTGATATGGCTGTATTAATATAACAAAGAAACATTTTCAAATAGGATTACATCCACAGATATAGGGGTTAGGATTCCAACACGTATTTTTGGGGGTGCACAATTCAGTCTGTAACAGTGACTAAACATACAGGTTTATTTCTGCTTACAGTATATGTCCAGTGTGGATCGGGGGAAGATCTGTTGCCATCATTAAAGAAGCCTGGTTGAGGGAGGCACTACACCTCCCTCATGTACACCTCTGCTCTGATGACATGTAGCTACACTATCTAGATGGAACACAGAACATTTTCAGTTGCAAAGACAGGTAAAGAGAGAGATCGGAGAATCACAAATGGGCTTTTCACTGCCCAGGCTGGTAGTAATACATGGCACTTCTGTTCATATTAAATTGGTCAGAAAAAGTCATTTAACCTCACCATGTGCTGTCATCCAGGTGCCTCAAAGGAGAGGAGAATTGGATATTGTGAACGTTTGTAATGTCTACCACACGGGTAAAAATCAGGATTTTGTTTTTTGTTAAGATGCCTGTTAATATCCCAGTGGAAATGTCAACTAAGCAATTGGAGATATAAAAGTCAGGAGCTGAGAGAGTAGTCTAGACTGGACATATTAATTAGGGAATCATCAGTGAATAAATGGTATTTAAAGCCAAGATTGGATGAGATTACCTGAGTAGAGAGTATAGATAGAGAAGAGGTTCAAGGACCAAGCCCTCGGGTCTTCCAACATTAAGAGGTCAAAGTGATAAGGCCTAACCAGCAAAGGAGACAGAAGAAGTATAAGTAGTGAGGTGGAAGGAAAAACATGAGATTGTAGTATCCTGGAAGCCAGATATCCTGGAAGTCAGGTGAAGAAAGTGTTTGAAGGAAGAAGGTATGATCAGCTCTGTCAACTTCTGCTGATCTAGGTTGTATAAGATGAATTCTGAGAATTGACTATTGGATTAAGTTATATGGAGGTTATTGGTAACCTTGACCAGAGTGGTTTTGTGGAGTGCTGGGAGCAACAGCTTGTTTGGAGTAGGCTCAAGAAAAATGGGAAGAGAGGAATTGGGGGTAGGAAGTATAGACCATTCTTTTGAGGTTCTTT